ATGTTGAACAACTATGCCAATATTAGGTTGGTTTTGCATGTGAAAAGCCAATTCATATTTCCTTAATAAACATTCCTTCTGTTAATAATTAGCACTCCACATGTGGATCAAATTAATTTGAATTGGTTGACAACATTATAGTACGGATTTGGATTCTCTTCAAACTTAACAATTTTTTGAAGAAAATGAGAATGTACTATGCGACAACGACAACTATGAATCTTTGAACAAATTGATTGCAAACAATAATAATGACTGAGAATTTTTTGAAGAAAATGAGAATGTACTATGCGACAACGACAACTATGCATCTTTGAACAAATTGATTGCAAACAATAATAATGACTGAGAAATATTTATTTAGTTTTGACTTAGAAATATTTATTTACTTTTGCATTAATGTTTATTGTCATTGTTGCTTACCGTATCATTTTTAATATACAATTTTAAATAATTCAATTTCAGGTTAATACGGCTTTAATAAATTGAGTTATTGTTTTTTGTCAAAAAAAAAAAAGATTGAATTATTGTTTTGATGGAGAATTACTATAAGGTTCCATGTAAGGGATTTAATCATTTAAAAGTCTGATAATAACTAAGAAGCTTGCAATAACATGTTAAAATGCAAGAAATAACAATAGATTTATGCTTATTAGGATTTTTTGATAATTAAATCACTTCTTTGAAACCTCATAATAATTTTTTTTCCACAACCATTCGATAGGTGATAATACTGATTAAATTGGATTTCATTTGGATATGACTCCAGTTTTAACTCAATTGTTAGCGGAGTTGTCCATATAAATAATTCATCATTCAAAAAAGAAAATGAACCTATTAACACTAAATTAATTATTTGATTTACTACTAAATTATGATTTGATTTAGGATTCGGACTAATCTTTTTTTATGACTTAGAGAGATCAATAATTGTAACTCCATATGATTCCCTCCTCCCCTCTTGTTTCCTTTACTTGTGAATTTTGAACAATCACAATGAATTCAAGTATCGTCATATGTAAAATAATTTTTTCAGAAAACGATACTAAGTCTCAAAAAGATCAATTTAAAAATTATTACGTTTTGATCTTTTTTAAAAAAAATTAAATAATTCAAATAATTACAAATATGAAAAATCTCATTGCAAATCAAACATTCAAATCATATACGTCACTTTCAAACAATTTATAACTCAGAATTGAAATTAAATTTGCAACTATTTAAGTTGATATTTAAAAACCTTTTTTTAAATCTGTTTAGCATCTAACTGTTATTCAAATGTTTCTTTTCCCTATCCTATAATGATTTCAAATTAAAGTTTCAAGTTTCCTACTTCTGACTGATTTATATAAAACCTAGGCATTTCTGTTCTATCATTTCGATTTATATATATAGTTTCATATAATATACTCCTCCGGTCCTTATTATAAGACCCAATTTGACTTTTTATTTGGTCCTAATTATAAGACCCAATCCATTTTCTCTCTTATATTTATACATTTTTTTTCAAGATAATCCTTCTAATAATGATAGTTTTAACCAATATACTTAATTAGCAAGGATATTTTAGGAATAACAACACTTATTTATTATAAATAACCAACTTAACTTATTTCCTTAATCTCCCCAAATAAGTCAATTGGGTCTTATAATTAGGACCGGAGGAGTATTACCTACCTCCAATCCTTAATATAAAAGCTGCTTAAGGTTAGATTTGATCCTAAATATAATATCTCAATTCACTTTGTCTTATAAATTTATAATTCTTTTCTCAAAACATTCTTATTGACAGTACATATTAAGGAGGTTCCCATCATAAAATAATTCCAATACTCATGATTAAATGTGATAATTTGGGAAAGCTAAGAGACATTTATTATAAAGAACTAATTTAATTGATTTTGATAATATTTCCAAATTCGTTATAAACTCTTATAATAAGATTCGGACATAGTATAAGGGTTAAGAAACATTTTTAATGGTTAAAGTTTTCTTTTCATGAAAAGGGCAATATTGTGTCTTAAAAACACTTCCAAAATCACATCGAGCAAAAAAAATTAAAAAAAAATCCGACTCCCACAGCTCCTCAATGAATACATTTAATTGTAGGGCAAAAATTACTTTTAACCCAATATATAACGATTCCTTGGAAAAATAACAAGGAATTTATTGAATTCATTATAAATCGAACATTATGCTATGTTTGGATGGAGAGAAAATGAGGGAAGAAACAAAATTAGAAAGAAAAATGAGAAGAGAAATGGTTTTTTTCCTTGTTTGGATGAGGGAAGAAAAATAAGAAGAAAAAAAAAGTTAGGAAAAAATGAGGTGGGTCTTATAGCCTATTTTCCTCCCAACTTTTCTCTCCATATACGGAGAGAAAACAAGAAGAAAACATATTTTTCCTCTCTGCCCTTATATTTTTTTTTAGCAAAATAATACCTTTTTATTTTTTTATTTTTTCACTTTATTTATTATTATCAAGTCTTTCTTCTATGTTTGCTTGATTGAAAAATAAAATAACTAAAATTACAAAAATCTTTATAAAATAAATTGAAAGGAAAAACAAGTAGATATGTTGTTTTGGTTTTTTTAGCATTACATTACATAGAATGTTATTTTTTTCTTTTGTTACAAAATTATTTGATATTAAAATATAATAACATGATAATATATCTTTATCAAATAATTTGATTTTAAGTTATATGATTATGTTAATGTAAATATGGTTTTTTATTATTATATTTAATTTGATTTTAATCAAGATATATTTTGATATAACAGAAAGAATATCTTAGTCATTCATATATTTACTTATTTTCTTTTCTTTCTGTTTTCTCTTGTCCATCCAAACATGAAAGGTGATAATATTTTTTCTGTAATTTTCTCTTCTCTCCGTGTTCTATCATCTTTTTTTTTTCCTCTCAACTTTTCTTCCCATCCAAACAGAGGGTTAATGTTGATCCCTTTCGGGTCTTAACAAACGTGACGGAAGGATTTTATTTTATTTTATTTAATATATACGACAGACTCCAAAGTGGAGCTATGCTAATTCCAGCATTCAGATACTGAGGCAAGACAAATACCGAAGACTACGCTTGATTTTACAATTCCAATTATCATTTTAAAATAAATAAATAAAGTTGAAGCAGCAATCATTTTCATAAGTACGAAATTTATAGTTCTTATACTAATCATCACGTAATTGAGCTAGTGGTTGTACTAACTTAATCTACTGGGTATGCAGCTGTGTCAAATGCTCGTTTGGAAAGCTTTGTTGCCCTTTTTGTATTTCCGATTTGATCCGAATTAGTTTAAGAGTAATGGTTGAATTAACTTATTTTAAATGATTTTGCTTTATATATATAAAGCAAACAAATAAATAAGTGAGAATAATTGGTTTCCCAAATAAGCTCCGAATATGATACTACTTTCGGTTTTTAATATAATAGTTAAATAACTAATTTATTGATATTGAGAAAATTAATTAAGTTGGTTATTTATCACAAATATCTTTTTGTCTTCTTAAATTATCATCATTAATCTTGTGTATTAAATTATTGAAAATATTTTTTTGGTGGGAACCCCTTATAAGAATATTTTGAGAAAATACGAGAAACAAAGTAGATTAAAATTTTATATTTAGAATTAAATTTGGTGTGACAATAAATGTTCCTTTCTTCACTGATACTCAACCATCATTTTCACAAAACAGATCAAAAGGAGAGTCCTAATAAATAATATTAGGAGGTATAGTAGGCCATGTATGTGCTGTCATCTTGTGGGTCATAAGGATGACTCCAGTCTCAAGAAGCTTTGGCGCAATGAGACTAAAGAAGTGCTTGGGAATTGTTTAGATAAAAATTAAATGATAATTTTAAAAGTGATTTTATGATATACGAAATAAATATCTGAAATAAGTTTTGTTTCGATATACATAAAATTACTTTTTAAAAATACTTTTATGGTCAACCAAACACTCCCTTTAGTAGAAGGAACCATACAATTACGAGAGATACCTTATCCTCCTCAAAACATAAGATAAACTTTGTTAGATGGGTTTGGTTTTTTCTATAAGATGCATTTTAGTTTTGTCCAAGTATCTAATGAGTTTTTTTCAATATTACCCTTTATATATTCTCTTTTCTCTTTAATTCATTTATTGTATTTTTTTACTTGTTCTCTTTATTGATAAGGGCATTTAAAAAAAGCATACCTTACATACATATTGTTTAAACTGATTTTAACTTATTTCTTATAAACGTAAATCCGTTGAATTTATCCTATATTTTGAAGTAGGGGGGTATTATTATTATTTGACAAACCAGTCACAATCAGACGCCCATGTGTTTCACACGCATACCTCATCCTCTTCTTTCTCTCAAACCATGTGGCCCCAAGGCTCTGATCCTCTGCAATTTTTCACCTCAGTGAAACTCTGGGAAACAGAATGAGAATGGTAAATACGAAGTTCCACTTCTCTGTAATGGAATGGGACCCATTGCCTTCACTCTGCTTCGCCCACAAAAAAGAATTCAGCTCTTCATTGCTAGCTAACTATATTACTGATAACTGAAGCAGCAGTAACTGTTACAAGCATGCCAGATCCATACGGCTTTGATAAATGTCTTGGTAGATTGAAGTCTACCCCCAAATAAAAACAAAAAAGAAAAAGAACAAAATTGGCAATGTATATAAACGCATGTTGATCCCATTTTTTTGTTGAAACTTGAATCCCATGTGTGAATGCTTAAGTGTTTCATTTCCCATTATTTGTCTTTTTTTGAATCAGACTTCGTGGATGAACATGTTCGTTAGAGTCACAAGGGGTCAGAATATTTGTACTCTGTCCAAAAAAGAAAAGACAGTACAAATATAAACCCATGTGAGAGTAGAGAAATTTTACATTGGGATGAAAGAAACGTATGTGAATTGAAAAGATACGCTCGATTTGGATATTCAGTATGTCTAATAACGAGGGAAGCCACCAGCATGTCTCCTTCATAAACCAAAAATTCATCAATCGTCCATTCACAAGAATAGCTGACAAAATAGGCATCATTCTGTACATGCCCTTCAAATCATTAAATCCATGAATCATCACGTAGCTAAACTGGACAGACCTAAGAAATTAACCAAAACTGGGACCCAAAGTGTGAGTTACATTCGTTCTTTTTTTTTTTTTTTTTTTGAGTTCATTCTACGTTCTTTCGATGACCAAACACAAAGTAAAAAGGATTAGAGGAAGGGAAATCTAGCTTTTGCACTAAAACAAATCATCCAAAAGTTGATCCCACTTTCAAAGCCTTCTAATATGAAGCTTCATTTCCTACCCGCATTTCCAGCTCGTGGCTTAGCTTTAACTTCGGCATCCTGTTCACAAAGTTCAAAGCAGTTAAGGTTGCTTGAATTATTTGAATACATTAAACAGAGTATCAACACAGGAAGCTACTAATCAATCTCTTGTTTGTATGAGTATCATGATAAAATAGCGAGGTAAGAAGAAAGCAGCATCGCTTAACTTATCAATACAGGCTTTAAATATGCTCTGTTGGACAAAGACCAAAACAGAATAATTTTGCGAAATTGAATGAAAAGGTAGGTGATCAATCCTTTTTCTTTTCCAAAAACAAATGCCAACGAGCAAAAATCAATCAGCATTGTCCTTTCTGTTCTGTTTCATTCTTCAATTACTAAAATAGAAAGCAGCATCGCTTAACTCATTTTCCCCCTTCTATCTTGTTGTGATTCACCCAGATGAGTATTAAGATAACGTAATAATTTTCATAGGTGACTGTGTGCACAAGTATACCTGCGGTAAGTGCAAGTAAATCTGCGTCTTTGCTGCCGCTGGATTGTGATTTTCTGCACCCTTGCTCCAATCATAACATACCTACAGCCACGCATAAGATTTCAAAAGTAATCAGGAATGGAATGGAAAGGACAAATCCGGTAAAACAACAGGCATATTATTAGTGAGTTTTGAGACGGGGGCTCATGAAGAGCAAAAGCTGCAATTATTTTGCTTTGCTGGATTGAGAGACAATGGCAATCCTCATTATATAAGCATGATATGTTAGCCCAAACATCTAACCTGAGTAGCAAGATGAGATTTAAGCAGCTTGAATCAGATCTTCTATTTTCTCTCACATTAAACTCGAATTCTAATTTCTAAAAGATATAATAATCAACCAAATAATTGAATATTCATTTTCAATTTTCAATTATTGTCACTTTTTACTCTACAGACATCATTACTTTCAACAGAATGAATAATCTGTTGGCAGAAATGTGTGTCTGTGCGTGTGAGAATTCTTATACTGTGAACACGCAATTTACAAATCCAAATACCTTCAAGGTAATTAAATATGTAAGTACATAAGCTAGGAAAAAACATATTATCTTACTCTCACCTCGTCTCCTCCAAGCATTTAAATAATACAAGGAGAGAAACGCATGTGCATTCAGAAAATAGAAACACAAATTTGCAGCAGTCAAAAACTTGGAAAACACACCCATAATACTTAAATATATCTAGAAAATATAAACCCAGAATGCATAAATTTTCACAGTAATATTTAATACCACATGTAATAAATAAATTACAGCAGATTAGATGTTTGAACACTTGATAGGTGCTACACATGCATTTCTAGATGTGCATGCACAAGAATGGGTACGCTTCAAAAAAACCAAAATAAGTAAACATAGGTCTCTACAATTAGCTAAAACATTGAAATAATACATACCGCATAAGCAAATATGGAACCATCATTATTAAATGCACTGCAGGGTATGGGCAGGCTACACCTTTGCATGGCCTGCAAACACAGTAACGTATTACAAGCAAAACAACAGCAGTAAGAACGTACCAAATGCTCCAGTAATATAACAAGATAGGTTGATAGAGGACTGTCCAATATCCTCGAGATAGTGAGACATGATCAACACTTAAGAAGTGTGAACCCCAAAGTAAACAAAAACATATAAATTCTATTATAAAATGATTCAATCTTCAACTGCACCCTGTAAGGGTTGAATTCTAAGCTTAGCTACACCATAATATTAGCAAGAAAAGGAAAATAACTACAATAATATCTTTAAAGTAGATGCACATATTTGTTCAGAGTTGTGACGCAAAAACAGAATGACCGACTATTAAATGCATCTACAAAATCTTGTACTCAAAAATCAGATAAAAAATCAGATAAAAAAAAATCATATGGATATAACCAATGAGTCATTTGGAACTCTATAGAGGTCAATTTCAGCAAGAAAGTGGCGTGAGAAGGAGGATCTTAGACTTAAGGAAAGAAACCTTGAGTCTCTGTTTACTGTCCTTGTCCCAAAAATTAAAAGCACCATCAGATCCAGCAGTTGCGAAAGTGTGATGTACCTGCACACAGATATTAAATAAGTTTTTTTAGCTGAATAAGATATAAGTTACTAATCATCAAATTAACATCATTAATGGTGAAAATTATCATAGTATTACTGGATGGAAATTCAAAGAGTTGACTGAGTATATCTCATTATTCTCTCTGTGGCATTTGAAAGTAAAGTTCTTGTTGTGTTGTGCTTCATCCAGGTGATGTACTCCAACCCTTCCCTCTATTGAGCCAACCTACAGAGAAAGAGGAAGTCAATAACCATTCATGCCAACATGAAATCATGGTAGAACTAGAAGTTATGTTTTCAGCAAATGGAGATTTAACCGGTACCAACATTAATACCAGGAAAACAACAAAGCATATAATTACAACGCCAAAAGAATAACGTTGAAATTGAAGGGCCAGCCAGGGTTTGTAATGTTTAATGTCAGATACAAATTAGATTCGGCAAAGAAAGGCATGGGAATAAAATTCAAACCAAGCTCTCCATTAAATTGAATCTCCTCGTCTCAATAGATCTGACCCTTACACTTTCATCTAACGAATCAATTGAAAATCCTCTGGGAAAATGTTGCCGTTCTTATCCAGATGTCTAAATGCCAAATGGAAACAAAGACTGAAATTCTGCAGCACATTTTGCTCTATGTGAATGTAAATACAAGTCAATACATACCAAAAAACCTTGCTGATCCGGAAAAGCAGCAACACATCTTGTCTGATACCTCAAAGGTGATTGGATTCTTTTGTACTCAGTCTGTAGAAATTTAACATTGATTGGAAAGCAAACATTATATTGATATTTATCAAGTTAGTTGATGTTCAGATAATAGGAATCACTGCCCAATAATTACTTCTTCTGGAAACTACAGAAAACCAGAATCAATAGAAAAGGTAAAATACAACTAGATTTTATTTTTTATCAAAAAAACAAACAATAAACCACATATATGTTATTTCACTAAATTTACATAAAGACAAAGGTTCCTGGCAAATATATAATCAACCTTAATGAAAGCAACCGTAGCTACAGTAAATGAGGTCCCTGATCAGTTTAGACACATTGACAATTTAGCCGGATCTTCAGTATTGACAGAGGAATATAACATCATTCAACACACATTTCTCATAATTATAAAAATTATGCAATAGTAAATATTACTCAAATTACTCAAACTAGATGTGGGTCCCATGCATTGCAAATATTGTTCTTGACCTATAAATAGTGTGGCATCCTATAGATTATATGTATTGATACTGATTGGATACTCAACCAAATTCTTAGCTGAAAATTTCAGCTCCTGAATATAAACATATTTTATGCTGCAAGTCAACATCAAAGCTTTTCACTTAAAACCAACAAAAATGCTACAAAATGCTATCATAGAAAGCATAGAATATTACCTGAGGATTCTGCAAATTGAATACCACCAGATTTCTATCTGCAGTTCCCACAACCATCAGCGGATATTTTACAGTCATTGCATAGCAGCGATCAGGAAGTTGTTGAGTATGCACAGGATTTGACTGCCTAGCATCCCAATACCTAAAAGAAGGCAAGGAATGCACAATGTGATTCGACAGCCAGAAGTATTTAGGGCAGTTAACACCATAGAAGATGCATTCTTTCTAAAAAAAAATCCTAAAATTTGCCATGAGAGCTATCATTTCACAGAGACAACCAAAGGCATAAATACACTAACGTAAAGTAACAAGGAAGTTCATGATCAGACTTGCATGAAATCATAAGAGAGAAAAATGAAAGGAAAAGGCCCAACTGTAAGAGCCGCCGCTCATCAATTTCAGATGAAATAATGCAGATGCAGAATAACGTTTGCAAAGAATACAATGTAGATGCAGATCCATGTATCATGCTGTCTAAGTGTCTATTAATTACTGTAAACACAATACCCTATATCGGAATGGGGGCCTTCATTCCCAAAGGTAAATGGAAATGAGTGGCCCAACCGGATGTAGTTTCTACGATGCTGACACAGCCATAATAATCCAATGTGTTATGTTTTCCTGTGCAATACTTGCAGGTTATAGCCCTTGCATTATGGCATTACGTAATTGTTGTTATACTATTAAATCAGCTTTCTAAGATAATCCTAAGATGCATTGGGTCTAAAATCATATACATATGAAAATAGCAAATATAATCCATCACAATTCATAATCAGAATTTCGACTAACCAGCAATGGTAAAGCTGACAAACATATAAATAGAACTTTTTAATAATGTAAATAAAGAGGGGAAAAAATAAATTACAGACTTCAGGGTCTTGTCCCAACTTCCTGTGGCTAAAAGATTCATCTCTGGGATCCAGGCAATCTCTTTAATAGGACCATCATGCATGGCAACAGGCACCGGTTGCCCACCAGACAAAAGAGGCCACATTTTGACCTGCTTGTCGCATCCTCCAGAAAAGACAGTCGTTCCATCGTCCTTCCATGCACAGCATAAAACCTTCAATAGGAAGGAAGCAAGTATTATGTCAAAAGAAATCTGGCCAGTGCAGGTCCAGGCTCAAACAACAATTTATGTATTCATTCAGGTAGATTACCGGTTGATCATGAGCTATTGACGCCTTGGGCGTACTGCTTACTGCAGTTCCATTCTTCATTATCTCCCAACATCGTACCTACAAGATAGTTAATGCATGAATAGGCATAAAGAGTGAAAGATGATGAAACAGAACATATTCTAGGAGAATGGCAGGAGCTCCTATCTTATATTAGTCATTCATCCTTCCTTCACACTTCTAATCAACTCATGAATTCAATGCAAATCATAGAAACAAAGTCAGACACGGCAAACCTGGTTATCCCATGATGTAGACACAAGAAAATTGGCCTTGGGACTGAAAGCAAGACTTGAAACAGAATCACCAGGTGGCTGCGTCACCTGAAAATTGCATTTTTCATATAAATCATCACTGTTGTAGAATAATAAATATTACCTCCATTCTTTATTACAAGAGCTTTTTTAACTTTCAATTTGATCCTAAATATAAGACCTTAATCTACTTTGTCTTTCATGTTTATTCATTTTCTTCAAAGTAATCCTTACAAAGTAGTTACACATGTTAAAAGTTTCATCAAATGATAATTATAACTAATCTGCATGATTAACGAAGGGAATTCTAAGAAAAACAACACGTATTCAAAATAAATAACTAATTTAACTAATTTTTTTAATCTTCTTAAATTATTTAACTAGGTCTTCTGAGGATAACAGGTAGTACTTAATAAATCACCCAAACAAAAACAAAAAAATCACAGAATGCCTCTCCTCATGCAGGATAAGCCTAGACCCCGCAATCAACAATTCAATAATCTCAGCTGCAAGTCCTTCTTAAATATTCTCGACCAATACAAGTAGCGGTTAAATATATATAGTTTAGTTAACAAAATAAGAACCGAAGAAGCAGAGCTTTGAAATTTGAATACACTTCATGGCAACTCAGAAACACGAGAAACTGACTCCGTAAGTTCAGGAGGTTTGATCAACGTACCTCGAAAGATTTGTTCGGATTAGTGTTTGCGGCCCCGAAAGTCGTCATTTTGAAAAGACGGGACCAGAGTAAGCACGGACGAGAAACCTCAACGGAGAATGTGAGAGAGAAAGAAATAGCAAGGGGAGAGAAGTAAGCTGAATCACAGTGGTGCGAAAAGGGATGGAGGGAAAGCAGGAAAGGAATGTGGGTGGTTTTATAGGGGAGGAGCACGGCTACGATTGCGCAACGCTAAGCCGCGTAGCGTCGATAGTACGGAGCGGTGGGCGGAGGGATTGGGTTTGGGTTTGAATTTCGGAGTCGGGTATTCCGCCGGATCCTATTTCAATGTAATTTAAAATTAAGGGAAAATTACACTTAGGTCCCACAAAAGATAATTAATTTTAAAAAAGTTCCTAGAAATCCCGAAATAATTCTGAAATTTCCAAAGACCTGTGTGTAATTAATTGTAATTGTAAAATTATTTATTTACCCCGTTAATTTTATTACAGCAATTCATTTACAACCTCAACAGTAGATGTTAACAACCCGAGGAGAGGTAGTTAACAACCTCGACAACGCCCCTAGCATCCCATAGACTGAGTTGTCAATCTTGGTAGTGCTCCTGACAACTCACTCTGTGGGATGCCTGACAACTCAGTCTGTGGGATGCCAGGAGAGTTGTTGAGGTTGTTAACCACCTCTCCTCGGATTGTCAACAGCCACTGTTGAGGTTTTAAATGAGTTCAAATTAATAGAATAAATAGGTAATTTCACAATTACAATTAATGACACACAGGTCCCTGGAGACTTAAGAATTATTTCAGGATTTATAGGGATTTTGTTAAAATTAATTGTCTTATGTGAAACTGAGTGTAATTTTCTCTAAAATTCATTCTTTTTGCCCGTAACTTGTATATTTTCTTAAAGAAGACCCCACTACTTTAAAGTTTAAACATACATGAACCAATCCCCAGAGAGCTCTCCATTAACTTAATAAACCCCGCATTTGGATCCTTTTTTCATTCTTTTTCTACCTTTTCTTTCTATCCCTGCCATTAGATTTTCAAATGAACGATTAAAATTTAATAATTTATTGACTTATGATTATAATGTTACATAAAAAAATAAATACTACCTCTGATCCTAAGTATAAGAATTAGTTGACTAATTTGAGTAGATTAAAGAAACTAGTTAAATTAGTTATTTATAATAAATAGGTATTGTCTTTTCTAAAATATCCTTACTAATCAAGTTTGTTGGTTATAACTACCATTATTACAAAAACTACTTTGAAAAAAATAGATAAATATAAAAGACAAAGTGGATCAGAGTCTTATATTTAGGACTAACACAAAAATCAAACGAACTTTTATATTAAAGACCGGAAGTAGTAAATAAAAATTTAATCTTTGGGAATTTAACTTCAAGAGTTCGCAATCATAAACAACTTGAAATAAAAAAAATAATTTTGTAAAAATATTGAATTTCAACCGGATTTTTTTTTCATGGATAAAGTAAGGAGAAGGAGTAAAAAATGAGGAGAGGATCTAAATTTTTGAACCCATATGCTTATCTAGCCTTATATGAAAGTGTTCATAAGTGTTTATAAATGACAAGTCTAAACAAGCTCAATATAAACAAAATCAAGAGTGAGATCAAGAGGAAAAGGAGCTGTGAATTTTGGTCATGGAACCAAAATTCAACTCGGCTATGAGAATATTCAACTTCATTTTCAATATCTTTAAAATTAAAAATGAATATGAAAAGAATAATGTAAAATTGAAAATAATTTCAACTAAACTTCCAAAATTTCAATTTGCATGCATGTTTTCCATCTTTTGTGATTTTTAAACTGGACAAAAAAATATAAGTTGAAAATTCTACAAATATTTTTTTTTTATGAGAACCATCGTATATTGGTCAATTAACTTTTTTAGATGTCAACCGATAGCTAAAGTTCTTAATTGACAATCACACAGTACTTTTTTAATCACACATCACTTTAGAAGATATACACTTAGAGAAGAAGAAAGAGGTGAGTGTACACAATTAAAGAATCCCAATTGCTTATTTAGTACTTTTTCAGTTTTAAATATAAGACTCATTTTTCAGTTTTAAATCAACCGATATTTAGGACTGAAACAATATTTACCAAAAAAAAAATTACAATTGAGGTGCCTTGGACACTTAGATACTTAAAAGGTTGATCACCTTAAAGCTTAATTTGGTCTATTTAACAAAAAGAAAAGTAAAAGTTGACTTGCCTCTGCAACTTCCAGCTCCCCCAAAAAAAGTGAAGGTCGATTGAAGAAACAAATATGTTTACCTATCATTAAAAAAAAAAAAAAAGGTTTAGCTGAGCTAAATTGCCAGCAAAAGTGATAACTTCACTGCGCACATGGTTAAGTAGCACTAGATAATTTTTACGGACAATTAATCTAGCTTCATCTGAACTGTTGTTGAATCCATGGGCAGGGACAACATAGCAAACGAACATCTTAGTACCCAAAAAAAAAAAAAGCAATTAATGTTGTAGCGGAGAGCGAAATGAGAGTAACCTAAACCGTAAAAACAAGGGAAAATTACACTCAGGTCCCACAGAGAATAATTAATATAAAAAAGGTCCCTCAAAATTGTAAAATGATTCTGAAGTTCCCAGGGACCTGTGTGTAATTAATTCTAATTGTGAAATTACTTACTTACCCCTGTTAATTTTATTGCAGCAATTTGTTTACAATCTCAACAGTGGCTGTTAACAACCCGAGAAGACGTGATTGACAACCTCAGCAATGCTCATGACAACTCACTCTGTGGAATGCCAGGGGCGTTGTTGAGATTGTTAACCACCTCTTCTCGGGTTGTTAACAGTCACTGTTGAGGTTGTAAATAGGTTCTAATTTTATTGCAGTAATTTGTTTACAATCTCAACAGTGGTTGTTAACAACCTGAGAAGACGTGATTGATAACCTCGACAGCGCTGATGACAATTCACTCTGTGGAATGCCAGGGGCGTTGTTGAGGTTGTTAACCACCTTTTCTCGGGTTGTTAATAGCCACTGTTGAGGTTGTAAATAGGTTCAAATTAACAGGGGTAACTACGTAATTTCACAATTAGAATTAATTACACACAGGTTCCTGAGGACTTCAGAATCATTTTGCAATTTTGAGGAACCTTTTTTATATTAATTGTGCTCTGTGAGACCTGAGTGTAATTTTCTCCAAAAACAAAGCGTGGGAGAGCAATAAAAGTGTTGTACTGCTAGAAAAAGTGGTAGAATGTTGCACTTTAGATGGCTAGAATCCAATCGTCAAAAACATCACTAGCTTCTTACCTAAGTAATGTTTCTATAAAGGTAACCACTATCACAATCTCTAGTTAGTACTACCTCCAGGCTCCAGTCCTAATTACAAAAGCTAATTGACTAATTTGAGGAGATTAAGGAAGTAAGTTGAGTTAGTTATTTATCCTAAATAGGTGTTATCTTTCCTAAAATATCATTGCTAATCAAGTATATTGACTAGAACTATCATTGTTAGAAAGGCTACTTTGGAAAAGAATGTATAAATATGAGAAATAAAGTGGATTGGGGTATTGTATTTAGGACCAAAGTAAAAGTCAAATAAGGTCTTATATTAAAGACCGGAGGTAGTAAGTTATAGCTACTTCTGTACAATTTGAAAAGATATATGTCTTCTTAAAATCTTTACAAACACAAATTGGGCTCATGTATGATCCTAATTAATTCAACAACAGATGAGAAATTGTCTTAAGTTTGTAGCTATAATTATAAATCCATTTATAGACATCCATGTCACAAATGACCCTCTCCTATCAGTACCCAGCATTGAACCATTGAACCATGTACCTCAATCTTTACATGATCTTTTCTAAAAGCATGCGTTTTCTTCCTATGCTAATAGCCAACAGCTCTGTGATGCAGTGGCATGCTAGCAACTTGCCGATGGCCTTTAATAAGATTCAAATCCCAACCTACCTACTCAAAATTTAAAAAAGAAGAAGAAGAAGCAGCTTTGGGGGAGTTAAATCCCCCCTAATGAAGAAGAAGCTTTATAGAAAGTAATGTAATTCATATAACCCCCTCTATTTAGTAAAATAAGATAGTTGTCATCATTATTGTTTTTGGTTATTTAAAATAAACGATTTTCTTTCTCCTATTTATCCATGGAAAGGAGAATCAATAGTAAAACAAACGTCTTTTGGTTTCATTATTAGACCTAGAGGCTAGACTTTCTTTCCAAGTCACAGGGCTAAAGTTTCTTTTCTTTAGGCTTCGCTGTTAAAAACCAAAGGCCAGAGATGAATGGAAACATACAGTACCTAAAAGAGATGAACAAAAGGAAAATGATTCCCAGTTGGCGAAGGACATTGTCCTCGAAACAAAATGAGATACAGCCACGGATTTTGACAGAAAATGACAGGACCAAAGACAACCAATACCTATTGCTCTTTGTCTATTGATTTGCTTTTCAATTTAACGCAGGAACTACATAATCAAAATCCAAGATCAATTTTAGATAGTTATACTTTTTCTTAGTTTTTAATTTTCTACCTGTGTTTTCTTCTGAAAAATTAAATATTTATTTCTGTTCTATTAGCACTGTTAGCACTTGTATAGTATGCCGAGGCTGAGGGCTGATAGAGCAAAGTTGCAAAGGGCTAATGGTATTAACAGAAAAAAAAAATTAAATGCTTTAATTAAGGAAAAAAACACATAGATACCATATTAAAAATTTAGAGAAAGTATAAGTACCTCCAAATGATTTTTCCTAATCAAAATAAAATTAATTGTAACAAAATTATATATTAATCTTTATAAAATATTCTCTTTAATTATTTATATTAAAACTACGTCTTGATATGAGTTTTTTAATATGTATAATCAATATTAATATTTTAAGAAAAATTATAAATTTTGAAAGACAAGATAAATTAAGGTTTTATGTTTAATATGAAAATAAATGTTCTAACTTGCTTCTATGTTTAAGATAGAACACTATTTTTTTTTGGGAAGAAAATGCAAAACGATTAATGTTAAGAAGTCTACAAAGAGTAGTTAAGAACAGGAAAAGCAAAATAAGATAAGGAAGTGAAGAGATTAAGAACTCTGCTAACTACACAATTTTCTTTAAGAAAAGAACATAAAAGGAGTTTACCTTCATGCTCAAGCCCCTTGTCTGCAATCTTCTGAAAATGGGTCAAATCAACTAATTTCTTCTGGAAACAAACAAGCTAAAGTTGAAAGCAATTATCCCCTATTGTTCTGTCCACTCTAGTAATCCAAAGCAAAATAGTCCGAAAGCAGAGAGAATTGAACCTCTCAGGATCAACAAAAGAACGACGACATAGGAAGTCTTGGATAGGGTTTCCTCAAAATAATATAAAAGCATACAAAAAAGTGCTCCTTCTGCATTTCTTTTTCAACAATAGTACAGTTCATCTTTTTTTAGTCAAAGAGAAATTTCCAAAATTTGCTACAATAGGGTTTTCCTTCTGTGCCATCGTCAAATGAATTGAGGAAAAAGCCATTTCGAAGTATGCCTGCCACCCCTGGATTTCTTTAATAACCTTCATGGTTTGCTCAATCTTTCCTTCGTATCAGGCTTGATTATATTTCCAACATACTATATTTAGTAAAATGATTATGCCCTTGAGAAGAAAATTGAGGTTATCATGAGAAATCCTCATCATTATTGTTTTTAACCAGAGTAGAAGTGAATCAAAGGTGGTTGCCTCCATCCTAACTGGCAAACATCCAAACGACAAGGCCCAGACATATGGGCAAAAGATCAACAAATGCTCCAAGGATTCTAGGCAGTCACAACTGAACACACAATGAATAGTAGCAGCAAGATGATGCAAGTTCAGGACATCACTCATTGGTGAGGCTTTATTTAATAATTTCCACATGAAAAGCAAGAATTTCAATGGAAGGGACAGACACCAAAGAAATTTCTACAAGTTGTCATTGTGACATTGCAAATGCAGGTAGTTACAAAGTTGGATTTTAAACCCATCTCTGGTAGTATAAAAACCAGAAGCATTAGCAGTCCATCGAAAAGAATCATGCTTTGAATTGCTAAGAATTGGAAGTGAAAGGATTTCCTTGATAGTGTCCTTAGAGTAGAGAGATTTAAGCAAAGGGAGGTTCCATCAGTAAGGGTTCTAGTTGAAGCAAGTATGCAGTGAGAGATCCTTAACCTTGAGCAGACTGAATGCTAAGAAGGATCTCGATTGCATAGGCTACCAAAGGTGGTGGTTAAGAGGGATACAAGAGGTAGAAGAGATATTTCACCAAAGGTTATCTACTATAAGACCAGAATTATCAAGCACACCCTTCCAAATCCAAGAAGCATTGTAAGGCTTCAAAAGCAGCTCCTTATGATAGAGATCTATGACAAATCTGCATAATTATTATAATATTAAAATAATAACACTGCTAGTGTCCTCCTTACACATCTTACAATCAGGTTCCATCATTAATATTAATACCACATTACTAAGAAGACTTATAATGAGGTCTCAAGGGAAAAAAAAAAATTACAAAACAAGTTTCAAAGGTTGTCATTTTCTATTCTAAAACTTGTTATCACAAATTGTTTAGGTTGTTATTGAGACTTCTTAGTAATTACTTTCTTTCCTTACTTGATTGTAATTCTCCTTGTTACTAATTGTAATGATGTGGCAGTAACGGTGAATGTAGTTCCTAGAAATTTATTGAAGTTGCAAAATTTAGATAGATGTTAGTTCTGTACATCTACAAGTTAAAAGCAATATATCTGAAATTTTACTTTTAATACATTTATATGTTTTAATAGGGATTTATAAATTATTAATTATTAATTTTAATTATATTTTATTGTTGAGAATATCTATGGGTATACTTTTGGCATTGAGTGAGCAAGAGCATAAAATAATCGTAAAAATTTGAAGAGGAATAAAGAAGAGGACTTTATATCTTGACTAATGAAAAGAAAGTGAAAATTAAATGATCCTTTCTTGCTTTAATTTTTTTTTTTTTAGTCTTCGATGAAAAGATTCCAAGAAGACATACAAGGAGACTTTAAAAATTTATGGAAAATTAAGTGGGACTCCTAATGAACAAAAGAAATATTCCTCAGTTTCTTTTAATATATTATTCATAATCAACAAACATTCCCTAAATACGATTCCACTTCTGATATGAATCAATATCAGCATTTCACTTAAACCTCCATCAAGCAGAACTGTATAAAATTAAACAGATCAAACCTAATTAGGTGTTTTTGATCAGTATCTGAAAATGATACACTTCTACAAATTCTAAAGCAATCTTACAACAAAATCCAACACAAGATGAGGCAAATACAACACAAGCACGCATTATCAGCCCCAGTTATCCTGCCAGCTTTCTTCATATACCATTTTCTTTATGGGGGAATTGGATGAAAAGAATGAATATCACATTTGAGCTTCAGAAAAACAAAAACCCAAGAAAAGGGAAAATTCTAATGTTCTGAGTTTAGACATGAAGATGAAGAAGGGGGCTCCATAATCACAGGTGAAGAAGGTGGAGGAAGGTCAGGTCTGGTTATACTCCTTTGCCGGCGGGTAGCAGAGGAGGTAGAAGAAGCAGGGGAAATTGATGATGGAGAGGATGCTGAATTCGAAGATGTCATCTTCTTATTGTTATTTGTCTCACTTGTTGATGATGATCTCTGTATCGTTCCAATTTTGTCGGATGTTCTTGAAGGGCCACTTGTTGTTGTTGTTGAAGATGATGATGCTTCTTGCTTCTCTTCTACACATTGTTTGTCTTCAATTCTGTGATGCCTAACTCTGGTTGAGTTTAAAGCCACTGGAAGAACACACTTGCAGAGGAATCCTGAAATTAACAAACCAACCAATCCATTGAATCTGATTCCTTTCTGTTTGATTTCACTCCTGCATTCAAATTTAAACAATCATCTTTGAAAAAAAAAAATCCTAATAATAAACCATTGTTTGTTAATTATTTGTCTTGAGAAGAAAACTCATTTGCTATCTGTTGACAATTTTGTTAAAAGGATTATTTATTAAATGTAAAAATATATTAAGTGTGTCTATGGTATTCATTATTTAAGTATGATTTTTTGGTCGGATTATTTATTTATAATTTAATTATTCTGCTTATCTTTTTGCACTCGGCATATATTATAGTAGTAGAATCATTTTATTTCCTTTTTCTGATTGAAATGGGGATAATGTTCTCTGCGAAAAAGAATAAAGTCGAGGTTCTTGTCCGTAGTTTTCTTCCCCCCTCTAAGGATAGCAAATGGATTCACTTTTTTTTTGAAACACCAATTATTGATTTATCGTGCCAAAGAATCTTTTTAAAACACTACTATCTCCTGTCTTAATTATAAGAGTTAATTGACTAATTTAAACAAATTAAAAAAAATTAAATTAGTTATTTATAATAAATAAGTATTTTTTTCCTAAAATATTCTTACTAATCAAGTGTATTGGTTAGAACTATTATTGTTAGAAGAATTACCTTAAAAAATATATACTATATATATATATATAAATATGAGAGACAAAGTGGATTGAAATCTTATATTTAGAACTAAAATAAAAATCAAACAAGATCTTATATTAAAGACCGGAAATAGTATTATTTATATAAAAAAGAATAAAGAAACGTGTCCCATCTATTCCCACGTAGAACACGAATTACACTGCTATGGCAATTCCAAAATTCTCTTCATTTGCAACTTCCACAGAATCAGTGCTTGCTTTGAAGATAAAATTGATCCCCGAATCTATTATTTATTTTCAGTAAGGAAAAAAAATCTATTTACTTTTTTTTCTAGCCTAAGGAAAAAAAATAAAAACCTAAAAATTATAAAAAAATAAAAAAATTTATCTCAATATAAACATACATAGTTGACGTGTACAATACTTAATATAAGAGTTAGGTTGACATTTAATTTTATCTTAAATATAAAACTCTAATATATTTTGTTTCTCATATTTATTTATTTTTTAAAGTAATCTTTATAATAGTTATATATGCTAAAAGTTTCATCAAATGATAGCTCTAATTAATACACATGATTAGTAAGGGTATTCTAAAAAAAACACTTATTTATTACAGATAACTAATTTAACAAACTTTTTTAATCTACTTAAATTAGTCAACTAGTTTTTATAGTAAGAATAAGACGAAATATTTTATAATGCTCAAACTATAAAATTTTCTAACTAATTAAATAAACTCTTTAATTTTGACATTTTATAAGGTATAATTAATTTTAACTCACTTCTTTAATTTAAATAAAGTTGATAATAAGTGCAGATAGCCAGATAAATAGGACTATAGAGAATAATATAAATCTAATAATAAGCTCTTAGCTAAATAATTATCCTTATCATAAAATAATTTAGCTTAAAACAAAAGTAATCATATTCTTCAACAGCAAAACATTAAGCTAAATTTCGGACAAGAATTCAGTAGCACAGTATATTTTTCATTATTGTCAATATGCAAAAAGAAATTAATATAACAAATAATTTAAAGAAAAGAATGAATTCAGGTTTTTCCAGTTTAAACCTCTATCATGTGAAGTTTAAAACTATAGATGTAATTCCTCAAACACTCTTTTTGATATAAGATGTTAATAGTAATGAATGATTTTTATGAATTTCAGCTTCATAAGCTCGAACTTGGAACTAGAACGGTGAAGAATCCAATGAAATCAATAGAATAAGAAACGATTTCCGAAGTTACCGATTCTAGCGAGCCGGTTGATCCAACTGGGAATAGATTTTCCGGTGAGTTTAAGGCATGCATCGTTGCAGAAATGGTTGCAATTCTTGGTGATGAGATTGTACGCATTCCCTCTGTACTCTCCGGCGAGCTCTTCCATCACCCTCCTCACACCTTCCTCTCCCATCTCCGTCTTCCCGATCAGTATCGTCTTCCTGAACACGAAACCCTCGCACCGTCTTGGTTCCCCTTCGAATATCCCCGTCGACGGGTACTCGTGAGCTCCAAATGCATACTCCACTCCATGAACTGCACAAAAAAATCCAGCACTTCGCTCAGACATCGAAATGTTCATATCATCATCTTGTGCAATTTGATGAATCTGTGTTAAACTTTTTTTTTTTTTTTTTGCGTATTAGAGTCTGATTTTTCACTGGTATATTCTCTCGCAGAGCACTGATTAGAAGAATTGGATTGAATTTAGATTGTTATGGACTGTCTCAAGATTTGTAATCTTGTGAGCTAAGCTCTGCAGGTTCAAGAATCACAGGAAGAGAGAAATCGGGGAGGAAGACGAACCTTGGACGCCGGAATGGTATACTCCGAGGCCGCACCAGTAGGCGTAGCCGTTAATCGGCGTTAGATCGTACACATTGAGGTACACCGGCACCGATCCTGATCCGCAGTTCCGGAGACCCTTCCTGCACAGCATTCTGCGACGTCGTTTCTTCGGCTTGCTAGCTACATCCACTTCATTGCAGGGCCAGTTGCAAAAACAGTACTAATCCTTAATCAGTATACATCTTCGCCGTAAGAGTTGATGAAACTATATCTTCATTTGAAAGCAGAGAAGTTAATGAGAAGCGAAGATTCCGGTACTAGAATTCGCCGGCGGCGGACAGACGGTGGCGCACCGACTCTGTTAATTGGTGAGGATGGCGGAGACTGGAGAGCAAATATTATGAACAAATCTCTGATTTTTTTAACTGAGAAAAAAATTATTGAAACAAAGAAAGCAACGTTGGCTAATAATTATGATGTGTAGGTGGGGTTTGGGATTATATATAATGAACTCTAATTAGTGGAGTTTTAGTTTTAAAGGAAAGGGAAAAGGCCATGAATGATGAAATGATGAATGATGATGATTCTTTCAGGTACAGGGTTGTGTGGTCCAGCCAGATGACACAATTTGGGTTTAATCAACTTTTTGCTGATCACAGAATCAAACTAGGGTTTTTCTTTAATCAACTGGAGCATAAATTTTGGATCATAAAGTGTTATTCTGCTGAGTATAATAGTTCTTTCTAAGATTTTTGCAATAATCAATTGCCATCAAGTCCTTCATTAAGCTCAATTTTTATGTCAATGTCAATGATTACGACCAAATTCTACAGGCCAGTACAAGGTAGAGATGAGACCCCATAAATGTCATCATTCTGGAAACTGTTCTTAGAGGGACAACGAAGTTCCTGAAAACATGTTGGGCATTTTATTAAAATACTGCCAGCAGTAAAAAAAAAAAAACCAAAATATTATATATTTAAAAGAATTCACTCAAATACTACGTTACAGGTTCACCAAAAACTGAGTTTTAATTTTAATCTGTGAAGAACTTGTTCGCGCTGAAAACAACTTTCACCTCTAACATACTTTTTTTGAAAAAATAAAACAAAGAAATTGTTCAGGCTCTGAACGATTTCAACACTCCTTCTTCTGGTGCATCTTTTTTCCTTTTTATTTTTAGCGAAAATTACTATCAAGACCCTATTCCACAAAGTTCATCGCCATCCTTCTCTTTCTTCTTAACTTTTGGAGAGAATTACTAGTAATAATACATGCATGTCCGCTTAACTTTTTTTTTTTTTGGGTCTTGGTTAGTGGTGGAAATAGGTCAAGCCTTACCTTAAGAGGCTAGGCCTGTGGTGAGGCCTATTAGCCTGAGTTTGGCCTGCGACCAGTGAAAAGCCTTTTATTTAGTCTAAGTCTGGCTTGTAATCAAGTGTAACTCAGCTTATAACCTATTAAAAAACTTGTATTTTTAACAAATTTTAAACATATATAAAGCAATTCAAAATTACAATAACTCAACCCAAATTATCCAAAATACAAAAAAAAAAAATGAAATAATCAGTAATAGGAATAGCAGAATGGGAATAGCTTGAGTAACTTACGTTAAATTTCAACACTTGTAAATTAACAATTTTAACCCCAAAAAAATAATAACAGCCTTAAGCCGCCTGATAGGCCTAATAAGTTAATATTAGGCTTGAGCCTAACCTGATAAGGTAAACAGGCCCTTTTACAAGTTTAAGCCTGCTCTTATATTTAAATAGATTATGCCATTTACAGGTTAAACTGCAGGCTTCTGGCAAGCCGTCTGGCCTATTTTCCCCCCTAATCTCGACCCTTACATCAAAACAATGGATTCTGATTTTAAAAAAACAATGGATGGTTTGGATGAAACATTTTATAAAGTTATTGTTAAAATATTTTACAAAATAAATATGTTTTTTTTGCTATACGTTTAAATTGTCTAGAATAAATTTTAATAGTTTATGTTTATATTATAATAATATTGTATAAAATATTATATGTGAACTATTCACTTCTTATCTATCTAAGGATGGAGAAAGGATTTTGAATATCTAATCTTCTATTTTTTCTTTGTTCTATTTATACCCTATAAATTAATAAGGATATGAGTAGATTTTTTGAAATGAATATTTTTTTGTCCTCTTAATTAAATTTAGAGGAAAAATGGAAGGAGTAGATATTGAGGGTATATTCGGTAATATAAAAAGATATTGAAGGTATAGAGTTATGGCTTTGAATTCTCTAATAATCTCTTCTCCTCTTTAGATAAAAATGAATTATTCACATATAATATCTTATACAATATTATTATAATATTATTATAATATAATCATATAAATTTAAACTATTAAAATTTATTTTGGGCAATTTATACCAATAGTCTAAAAATATTTAGTATATCAAATATTTTAATAATGATTTTATAAATTATTACGCCTCCAATTCTATTTATAAACTTTAAATTTAGGGAGAAATGTGATTCATTTTATAAGCTTTGATTTAGTATTTGTCTTAACATTTAATGAGGTTTTCTATTTTTCTTTAATTATTTATATTTTCTTTTTTGTCATAATATCTCTTATGATATTTTTCCACACATTCTCTTTCATCGTTTTTTCATTTATTATAAGAGTATATTTGAAAATAAAAATATACTTCTAACGTATTTATTATTTTTAACTAATTTAAACTAATTATTTATTTCCTATTAATTAATTATTTAAAGCTTATAATAAATCCACATCATAAATTGATTTAATGTAAACGCAGAGGATCAAAGAAGAAGAGGTGGAAGAAGTTAAGTAGATTCACATCTATGGGGCTTCAATAGCAATTCTCTCCAGAAGTCAGGGGATAGAGAAAGATGGCGAAAAAGTTTGTGGAGTGGGGTCTTGGTTGCAATTTTCGCTAAAATAAAAAGCAGAAAAGATGCACAGGAAGAAGTAGTGTTGAAATCGTTTAGAGCCTGGACAATTTCATTGTTGTATTTTTCCCAAAAACTGTGTAAGAGGTAAAAGTTGTTTTCAGTGTGAACGAGTTCTTCACAGATTGAAACTCGTATTTGGTGTGAAAGACTCGTAACATAGCATTTGAGTAAATTCTTTTAAGGAGAAATTATAAAAAAAGACCTTGAAATTGTAAAAACACAGATATGGACTCTTGACAACTTCATTTTGGGTTTTGACAACTTCAGAGCATATTATTCTTATCAAAACCTAAAATAAAGTTGTCAAGGGTTCCTATCTGCGTTTTTGCAATTCTAAGATCTTTTTTTGCGATTTTTTTTTAAATATGTAATATTTTGGTAATTTTTTGTTAGTGTTTGCAGTATTTTAATAAAAATGCCAAACATGTTGACATGGGGATACAGTGAAAGAAGAATATATGTGACAAGAAAATTAGCACATTGGTTACCTTTCGATAGATATGCTTGACTACTTCTACACTCAATTACCATCAACTTGTAAGACATTTATATCTGTACAAATGACTTTTATCTTGATATGGACTTTTGAAAATTAAAATTGGAGTAAAAATCAATTAGTATAATGTAATTTATGTTTTGACAGATTTTCATTAAAAAAAATAGTTTAACAAAAACTTGTTTGAATAAGATATTAAAGAGTTAGTTTTAAAATAAATATGAGAAAACCCCAAAAAAAAAAGTTGGAAAAAATTATTTCAACGTTAAATTGATTTTTAGACAGAGTCATTTGCTCCTAAAATCATGCCAAACATCATTTTAAATTTAAATTAGCTTTTTGAGTTGAGAAAGGCAATTTTAACGTATCAAAAATCATGTCAAACCATAACCTAAAGGGTGATTGGATTAATTATTTAGAAATGATTTTATGATATATGAGCTAAGTATGTGATATAAGTTTTATCTTGATTTTACCGTATATGAGCAAAGATATAAGTTGTATCTTGATTTGTGTGAAGGTATTTTTTTTTACTATTAAAGGATCAATTTTATAAAATGAAAAAAATTATACAATTAAAATTGAAGTAGCATAAACTGAAAAAAAGAGAGTTAACATAATATCAGTTTTAAAAAAAGAGTGTATAGAAAAAGATTGAAGTAGCATATGAACATCTTTTGTAAGGTGCCATTGAAATTCAAATGGATGAGAGAATCATCGAACAAATTCTTCTTGCATATAATGACATTAATGTAGTTCAAGTATGCAAAAGAGTGTCGGTGCGACTTAAGTAACCCTTGTGAAGGAACTTTTCTTGAGTAATTACTGGGAATTGTCCCCTGAGACAATTATTGGAGTGCCTTTGTGGTCAAAATTTCTACGTGTAAGACGACATTTGTTGAAGTGCATATGGGTTATAATACGAAGAGAGGGTCCTGGGCAGCTGGGCTTCACATGCTGCAGCTATAGGCCGCGAATATTCTTTAATTGATTATCAAGATTCTTGTTAGAGAAGTTCTTGAATACGCTATAAATTCTCAAGCTCCTTTTTTTTTATGTCCTTGTGGAGACAATATATCATTATTAAGGCAGACTGGGTTCAGACAAATCGGGATGTTTTGTTCGGGTTTGTGCAGAGGCTTGAAGCATAACAATAGAGGGGTCTCCGTGGCAATGTGTAAGATGCTACATTCCGTTTGAAGTAATCCTTGAGTAATGTTCGGTGCGGACGTAGTAATAAATTTGGTTGAAATGAGAATTTAAAAGTTGTGATCTTTGGATTGAATCCTTTTATTCAAACTCCTCACTACTTCCATTTTTATTACATCTCCCGTCAAAAATATAAGAATTAGTTAGTGGTTTTAATTTCTAAATATAAAACTTCAATCTACTTTGTTTTCCAAATTTATAATGTGTTTTAAAAAAATATTTATTGATTGTAAGGTATTTTCACCTAGAGCTGAGAAAACAGGCTGAACCTGTCGGGCCATCCCATTTAAGCTAAAAAATTATTAGGGCTGAGCTTGGAATTTTTCCCTTCAAATGGGAAATGGGATGGCTCTATAGAGTCGAGCCCGTTTAGACTCTTTTATCTTTTTTTTTGTTTTTTAAAAATTTTTTGGGTGTAATTATAATATTAGTAAATTTTTTATATTGTTAATCATATTTCAAATATTTAGTTACTATTATTATTTTGAAATTAAATTTCACATAATGGTTTGATTTATTTAGTTTTAGATAATAATTTATCCAATTAAATTTAAAAAAATGAGTTAATTTGGACTTTAATAATGGTTTGATTTATATTATATATGTTGATATGTTTAAACTATATATATTTGATAAGAGAGTATTTTTATACTTATATGAACTTTTGATTTTATAATTTAAATTAGAAATTTATGAGTTTCAACAATAACACTTCTTAAACTAAAATAAAATAATAGATAGACTGTAAATTTAAAAGTAAAAATCTTATAAA